GGTGGGCAATATGCTAAAAAAATCAAGAAAATTGATGAATTTAGAAAAAGAGAAAGGTAAATAAGAAAGAAAAGTATTCTTTTATTTTCTCAAATGATTTTGAGCTCTACATCTAAACTACATAAAGTCCCAAGGCTTGAGTTACAGTTGATTATGCTGGTTTCCATATGATTCCGGGGCTGACTTTGCCCTTTTTTTGTCTTTTACCAAACTCCATGCAACCACTTTGCTTGCTGTTGCTTTTTTCCTCATTTTGTTTTTGTTAGCTTATTCCGATTGTGCCCTTTTGTCCAGGTTTATTTGTAATTTTGTTGTCAATTTTGTCCTTTTGTTTGTTCTATCTTCTGCTGCTGCAATTGCTATCTTTGGCCATTTTATTTGTGTGTGTTTTTATGATTTAAAAAAGGATTCATTTTTATGTTTATAATTTTCCCTGGCCTTTTATATTTATTCGCTTATTTATTAACTTTCTCCAGAATATAATTTCTCTACTCTTTTATATTTATTAACTTTCTCCAAAATGTATTTATTAACAAAAATATTGATTTTCAAAAAAATATGCAAATCGATAAAAATTCTGTGTGCATCTAATATATACAAATCAATACAAATTTTATGTGTATCTAATCAATATAAATCAATTATTCTGCTTTGTATTAACACATATCAATGAAAATCATATGTATATCTAATATATACGAATGAACAAAAATTTTGTGTGTATCTAATATGTATAAATCAATTGTACCACTTTGTATTAACATATAATAAGTGTTATTCATATCAAATAATCATCCTGAACTACATAATGCGCTAAGTCATGAGCTATAGTTGATTGTCCAGGTTTCGATGCAATTCTACGAATGATTTTGGACTTTTGTGTCTTTCAGCATCATGGGGGGCCCGCTGTGGAGTTTATTGTCTGCTATTGCGGCAGTCCTTATATTGCATTTTATCATCTTTATTCCAATCATGCCCTTTTGTGTTGGTTTCTTTTTAATTTTGCTGTCAATTTTGTACTTTATGGTTTTTAGCTTGTCATATCTCTTAATTATTATTTCTTTGCTTTTGTTTGTTGCAGGTGCCGCTACCTTCCATTCCCCAATGCAAACACGAATTTTTTGAGCTATACAAATCTATATATATTCTCACATTCTATTTGTGTGTATTAACTTAAAGCTTTTGTATTTTAAGATTGGGTAGCATAAATGCGGTCAATACAAATTGATGATTAATTGTGTGCCTTTTTATATATATTCATTTTCTGCAAAACATATATGTATCGATAGAAATATTGATTTTCTAAAAAATATATATATAGATGAAAATTTTGTCCATATCTAATAAATATAAATCAATTGTGATGTTTTGTATTAGCTTGCATTAATATGACTAATTGTTTTTAAAAATATAGGATAATTTCCCTCTATTTCAAAAATGTTACTTCGATAATATTTCAAAAATTCAAAAATTGGAAAATATACCACTGAAAACCAAAATAAAAAAAGACAAACTTTTCTCTAAAACTATAACAAAGATAACCAAACTACTAGAAATTTACATACAAATACTTAAAACCACACCCTTATATATATATATAAACAAAAATATAAATGATGCAATTAAAAAAAATCATATTGACACATGAATCACAAGACAAATAGGAACGCCACAAATATAACGAACAAACAAAACTGGAAAAGATAGACATGCTAAAACAATATTAAACAATTATACAAGCTCAAATAAAATATTAAATAGACATATACATATATATGTACACATATATAAATAAATAAAAATATAACAAACAAACAAAACCACAAAAAATCTAAACACTAAAAAAATTAAACCATTATATCACCTAAAATAAAATACTAAACACACACACGCATATATATATACATACACATATATATATTACAAAATATATCATATACCTATATCTATATATTAATACAAAATTCACTACAACTTTAAGTAACATAAAATAAGTCACATAAACATCAAACAATAAATATTTAAAAATTCTATTGCAAATTCTAGTGATTAAACTCTATAATTTTCATGTGCAACCATTTCTATTTCTTATAAAAAAATTTATACACATCACCTTACTTTCAATAATATCCATTTATTAATAAACTATTAATATATAAAATCTCTCAGCTCTCAAAATATTATCCTTTACTTATTCAGATTCTATTAATTCAAAAATATAACTTCCATCTATTTCAATCACATTCATTCAGGCCTTCTCCATGAAGTTGTGGTGGAAGTTTAAGCAGGGGCTCTCCCTCTGGGCTTCGTTCATGGCTTCCAAATACTGTAGGGGCAGGCATCCTTGTTTGGCAAAGGAGAGATTGGGTCCTTCCTCCACATGGAGACGGATGTGTAAGGTCCAGGGGATCATGGAGAGGCACATAGGGTGGATTGTAAGGGCAGGAGCTATGGACTTCTGGCACGATAACTGGTTGGGGTCTGCCCCGCTTTGCAGAAGTGTGGAGGAATTTCAGGATCACCGGGTGGCGGATTTTGTGACGGGAGGGGAGTGGGACGGCTGCTCTCTCTCACAGGTGTTGCAACCGGAGCTTGTGCGGCTGGTTATGTTCTGTAGGCCGCCACCCCTGCTAGGGGAGGACAGGATGGTTTGGAGTTTAACCCCCAATGGGGAGTTCACAGTTTCTTTGGCCGTGGCGGTCGTTCGGGGCCACTCGCATAGATCATTTGGGGCCGCTCCGTTTGGCATGAGTCTTTGCCTATAACGATTTCGTTTTTCATGCTCCGCTTGTTATCGAGTAGGTTGCCTCTAGTGGACCAGTTGCGCAAGTTGGATGTCCACGGGCCATCTAGATGCTTTTGCTACACGACTACCCAGGAGGAACGCTTGAATCACCTCTTTTGCTCGGGGGATACCGCCCGGCAGGTATGGAGGACATTTGAGATTCAAGCGGGGGCTTCGGACCGTATCAGCTCAGTCCGTCACATGGTGATGTCATGGTGGAGCCGACTGGCACAGCAGCGGTATGTGACCTTTGTGTATCGTGTGCTCCTTTCGGTCATCTGTTGGGAATTGTGGTGTGCAAGAAATAGGACGTTAATGAATGGGGGAAGGACAACGGGGGGAGGTGTGGCTGGCCGTGTCTTGGTCAGGATACGGGAGTTACTCAAGGTTCAATTCCCAACTATAGCGTGGCCTAGTGGCTCGTGGGAGAGGTTGCACTCGGCCCTAGTGGCTCGTCCGACAATAGTTACCGTTCTGCAGGTTAAGTGGGGTGGCCTCGGGTGGGGGATATAAGCTCAATAAAGATTGGTGTTCTCTGGGGAATCCAGGGGTGAGTGGAGGCGGGGGAGTGCTTCGGGATTCTCAAGGAGACTTTGTTCTGGCATTTTCGTGTTCCTTGGGTGTCATAACAAGCCTACACGCAGAGTTGAAGGCATTAGCTTGTGGGGTGCAATAGTGCATTGCTATGGGGTATTTAGAGTTGCATCTGGAGATGGATTCGTTATCCTTGGTTCGAATCATATCAGGTGATCAGGCATGTCCCTGGTGGCTGCAAAGGGAAGTGGAGGATCTAATGTGGCATAGGAGGCTGTTCCGGTCGATTACGCATTGCTACAGAGAGGCTAACAAGCCTTCAGACAGGCTGGCCAAATTGGGAGCCGTCAGCGAAGTGGACTCTGTGTTTACCTCCTTTGACATGGTACCTCTCTTGGTTCGTGGTGAAATATGTCTGGATAGACTAGGATTCCCTAACTTCCGCAGGAGGCGATGCTAGATCCCTCTTGGATTGTCGCTGTTGTGGCTGCATTTTTCCTTATGTGACTTAATAAAGACCTTTTTGCGAAAAAAAAATCACATTCATTCATAACTAAATCAATATCATCTTTACTCATAGAAAAAAAAAACCTACTTAATTAATAAACACGTATTTTACCAAGCTACAATATCAAATTATTCCAAATTATTAATTTTTCTCATTACACAACACCCAAACTATATCAAATTTTGTCAAAAAAAATCTATTATCCATTTATTTTTCAACAAATTCCCCGTTCATTTATATCCTTTCCATAGACTTTTCCATTGCAACAAAGCACACTCTCTCATCCTAGCTATCCAAATTATGAAAATATCATCATCCTAAAATACATAAACTACCAACGCCCAAAGTATAATAAATTATAACACTCTCAGTGTAATTCTCCACCTAACTTTCCATCCTATCAACTTTAAAAAAATAACATAAATTCCATTAATTTAAATAATATTTACTTATCACTAAATTAAAATAAAAAATTTTGAAACCAATATTATCCATCAAATCTTTAGATCGTATTAATTTTAAAAAACACAATACAAATCGCAACAATTTTACTATATCTATTTATAAATAAATCAATCCAATATATCACTCCTCTATCCACTCTTCCAACTCCATTATCATACAAAATACTTCAAATCTATGTTATTAAATAAATCTTACATTACCCTAAGACAGTTAATAATGGACACCCCGCAGAACTCACGGGGCACCAAGCCTAGTATTTCTAAGAGAGGGGATGACCCTTATTTATAGGAGAGTACAAAAGAGTTTAAAATATATCAATTAACTACAATTGTTGATAAGATCATCAGGAAAGTAGTTCAAAATATACCAATTAACTATAATTATTAATAAGATCTTCTGAAAAGTCGTGACAAGTTTATGATCTTGAAGGTTTTACCACCTTGAAAATCATGATAGTTTTATAATTATATTATCTCATGACAGCGTTTTAACTTTATCACCTTAGAACTAGTGATAAATTTGTTATTAGATAGGAACCAGACATCCATAATTATTTAATTATTTCTTGCATATTGCTAATTTGACAAACTAAGCTGTAGCAGAATACTTATAATACGCACCCAGGTGTTTTTTTTGAATGCCGCCCCCGGGTGTTGGAAGCCAACTTGCATATTGCTAATTTGACAACCCAAGTTGGCAGCTCCGTACCAACAAAAAATACAAACGGGACGGCCAACATCCATACGTATGGCAAAGCCGCCCCTATTAAATTAAAGCCATTGACTAAAGGGGAAAAAAAAAGCCATTGACCGGGGAAGAGTGAAGCTGAGCTGAGGCAGGTGGGAGGGGAGTAGGATAAGTGAGAGGAGGAGGGGGATGATGATGTTGCTGCAAGGTTGGAGCTTTTCGATACATTCGAGAGTTGTGGTGTCCAACAGCGAAAGATATGGTGAGATGAGGAAGCACGTATTCCGTCCTCACTTGAGTGGTTCTGGTTCCTCCGGAGAAATTCAACTTGGCCAATACCGCCACCACTTTCTCAGAAGCAACGCCGGCCCAACATTATCTTCTACAAGGACACTTAGTAGTAGCTGTTTCTCAACGCTGTGTGCTTCCAATGTTGAAATCGTTGACATCGTCCACAACAAGGTTGGGGTTGCTAGTTTTTACACGAATACGTATATATTCTTTTTTAATGCGTTAGTTATGGAGGTGTTTGTTGTTATTTACACTAGGATAGTTATGACTGTAGGTTTTAATAGCAGCAGCTGTATCCGCGGCCCTTGGCCAACTCTCAAAGCCTTTTACTTCAGCGATTCTCCACGGCAACAAATTCGATTTGAAGAGTGCCTTTCAGGCTGGAGGGCTCCCTTCTACGCACTCCTCTGTAATTTCCCTCCCTCTCTCTCTCTCTCTTTCCCTCACCCTCCTTTATTTCCAATTTTTTTTTTTAAAAAAAGACTGCTAGTTCGATAGCCTTGAAATGGATGAATATTTTATTATAACCTAACAGCGTTCGTTTCGCTTGAAAATTTCACTTTCAGGAGGGGCTAGGGAGGGAAGAGCTCAACTTTGTAGCTTTTTGCCACACTGATTTTTTTTTCTTTTAAGTTATAAATATAGTCATTGATTTCTATCTATTCCCACTCCACAGGCAGTTGTTGCGACTGCAACAATCCTTGGCCTAGAAAGGTATGCTTCATTTCCATCGTTTTTTTCACTTTGTCGAAAGCAAGACGTATATGTACTATTACAAGACTTGTTTTGCTCCATTGACTTGATTCTTAGTAAGTCTTAGCTGGAAGAATGCTATTACTGAACTAATCTAAGTAATCTAAGTTCCATTTTTTTTTTTTGTCCCTTTTCCCTATTTCAGGGGTTTCTCTGATGCAATTTTTGGTTTAGCGGTTATTTATGCTGGCATTGTTATGTACGATGCACAGGTTTGTGCTGAAAGTTTGATTTTTCCCCCTTTTACTTCATTCTAAATCCTGAAAGCTGAACTTGTTACCTTGAGATATCAATGACATCTGTGTCCCAAAAAAAAAAAAAAAACTTCTGAGAGTGAGATTTCAATAACATCCTAATTCCCAAATCGTGCATTGGGTTTGATTGCCTCGAAATATGAGGCTGCTGGGCACAAATTACAGGGTTAAAGCTTTCATTACACCTCTGAGAGTTAATCCACATTGAATGCGTGGGGATAATAGTGATGGACAATGATTTAGGTCCAGCTCGTTGTTTCTGGGCTGGGGCTTTGCGCCATCTGAGCTTTTCCTATGCATGTTTGGCAGGGTTCCATTAGTTTGGAGTGGTTTTTAGGAGAATGTCCTGACAAAAGCATTTTTAGTCCACTGCAGCCAAATTGCAAAAAAAATTAACGGTGTTACCTGAATGGTGAAATAGAAATGCCTAGGAAAGCCATATCTGAGACTTTACTCCATGCTGCACATGGCGTGCTGGCAAACTAAGAAGCATGGATGCAGATATAAGAACAGAGACAATTCCGGCCTGCAATAGCCACAGTGGTAAGATTGCTCTGGCTAAGGAGACCTGGTGAAATCTACATATTGTGCTATTTGAATTTATATGGGCAAAGTAAAACGAACACTTTATTCAGTTTGATGGAATTAAGGGACCGTTTGGATTAGCTGTTTTTGGGGGTGTTTTTGAAAAATTTTGCTGTAGTAGAGTTTTTATATTATATTTTGGGATATTTTTAGAAAATATTTTGGGATATTTAAGAGTAGAAGAGTTTCTAGTATATATTTTGAGATATTTTTTAAAATTTTAAAAAAATTTAAACTAATTTTTAGATTACCTTTTAGAGTACTTTTTAAAAATTTTTATTGTATTTGAAAAACACTTCCATGATATGCTAAGGCCCCATTTCATCTATATGTTGTACCATGAAAAGCAACAACAGAATCAGAAAAATGATTAAAGTGACTCTCCAACTTGATTGAGAGATGCCTAGAGGCTCCTGAAAGTATTCAAATGCTGCTTGTGTGTGACTGAATCTACTAGAGGTTGGTGCAGTAGCCAAGTACATTCTCTGCGACCTTACAATATTTGTTTAGTTAAAGATGTTATGGTTGACATTTTTAAGTTTGATTTCAAGGTCCCTCATATTATCTCAACCTCTATTTTCACCTTTCTTTCAACTTTCTCATAAATCAAAATTCTTCTTTGACACTCTTGATTTCCACAGTTTGTGTTCTAGAGGCTACTGAGTGATATGACTTATACAACCTTAAATTGTCAAGACCGACTTCTTAAGATTTCCTGTATTTGTTCTTCACCAACTTTAGCCAAGTCTATCATATGCTACAATTATTTTGCTTCCAGTAACAAAATTATGTAGTTGGAAAAATTAAGTTATACTATTAACAAAGCAAAAACAATGTAATGCTATATTCTGCTGCATTCACCATTTGAGTGTTGAATTTGTTAATAAGTAGATGCCATAATATGGTTCAAGGGACATGACCACGATCTTTCTATCCCATATTTAATCTGTTTAACATTCATAAATTTTAATGTTCATGTGCTAATTTGCCCTTCATATGTATATAAGTCGGTTTCATGACAATGAATGTGCCTTGACCTGAAGAGTGTTTTGGAGCATTATTATGTAGCCCTAGAGGCAGCTCCTCCTCATTTCAGAATGATTTAGTTCCAGAGAGTGATAAAACCACATTTTCTATGACACAGTCAAGATGAAAAGGTTCTTCATCAGAACTATTAATCAGCTTTTAGGCACTTGTGCCTTGTATATTTCAATTAATAATAACTACTTATTCTCAACATAACCTGATATTGCATGAAGTGTACCTTTTCCTTTTTCTTTTGTAGAATATGTGATCATGACACGGCTTCCAGTAATACATTTTTGGATGGTATGGTTCAGTTAAGATTGGCATTGGTTCCTGTATATATTGAAATTGATCTTTGGACCTCATGATTGTAAGAATTGCCCATGTTAATTTGATCGATTTGCAATTCGTCACAAATTCAGGGAAATTGTGATCTTATATATCTTAGGAGTCAGTGCAGGGGCATATGATCTCACCTGTCTATTTTGGCGTTTGTAGGGTGTTAGAAGGGAAGTGGGAAGTCAAGCAAAAGTGTTAAACAGGGTTTTGTTCAGAAACAAAGTAGAGTCATTTTCCTCTTGTGATGTTAATGATTCTACTGAATATTTTCCAGAAGAAGTATCTACAAATATAGAAACCTTTGACGCCAGCTCGTTGCGCAAATTTAGATCTTCTCAACCAAGAGTACCGAATGCTCCATTGCTGCTTAAATCTGAAAACAGAACTTGGAGAATGCCAATCGTGAAAGGAGACTCAGAAAGCATTCCTTTTGGTTGCACCCCACTGAAAGAATCTGTTGGCCACACAGAGATTGAAGTCATTGCTGGTGCTCTGTTGGGTTTCTTTGTCAGTATAGCGGTCAATAGGATATGATCTTTTTCTCAGTATCATTTACATTGTGGCAATTAGCTTTTGGAAGAGATGGCTGTATGTATTACAAGAAGTCGTCAAAATTCTTGAATTGCTGCGGCTGGAATTTGCATTTCAATTGTATCAATTCTTTGAAAGCATTACAATCCATGTGCCGAATCTCTCTTATCTCATGGAGCTCCTTGTTGATCAAGTCTTATCATCTGCTGATGTAATTTGGCATGGCAGCAAACTGTTGAAGTCGGCAACAAACCAGTAATATTCTGTTGGTGTCCATTGGAAAAGGTAAGAAATGCCAAGTACCTTTTTTTTTGTGGCTGTTTAAGAGAAATTCAGTGTCTGTTACTACCTCAGTTGGGTTTTAGGGACAGAAAAATGAATATCTCATTGCAACTTAGGGACAGAAATACTCATGTAGCATAAATGATATACTGTGTTGTATTATTGTGGTAAATGGAAAGCCTTTCAGATTATGGGAATTTTTGGAATTGGATTAATATGTGCACTAGAGGGACTAAAAGATTTTTAAGAGATGTCAAGGGGTTCGTTTCCTTTGACAAAGTGTATGCCGTCGCCTGCTGACATGCATATGGGAACAATATAATTTAAATAAATAAATAATTAAAAATAAATCTTATATATATTGATAGTGTATACACTTTCATTATTGGATCTATGATATATATGTAAAAATTGAATTTTGAATTTCAAATTTGTATAGTTGTTACTCATTCAACGCTGACAGTGCATTCCCACTACTAAAAATTCGCCCACACATCATAAACAAACGAAATAGCAAAACTGAGAGACTTTATCCCACCTAATATATACTCTAATCATTCCCCACTTTTGCTGTATTCTGAGGCTGCTACGCACACAGCAAAACTAAATAAAAGAAAGAGAAAATGACAAAAAGAGGCAATAAATTATTCAGAATTTTCTAATTTGGTCACTAAAGTTTTTATTTAGCTAGGACTATCTTTTTTTCCTTCGTTAAAGTTTTCTCAATTAAGGGATGGATGAGAATATTTGAAATTTATAGTGGGCTCATCTCCTTTATTTTGTATCTACTCATCGAGTTTGGACTATCATTCAATTAACAAAACAATGTATTTTTTTTCATCACTCAATTAATAAAATCTTATACTTTGGTCACTCAACTAAAGAAAATATACATTTTTTGTCACACGAAATATGTTTGAGTTAGTTTTTTTTTTTTTTGGGTCAAACTAAAGAAAATATGTTTTAGTTTGTTGAATAGCCATATTGACCAAATAAAAAGTTGGATGACCAAAACAGGGAACTACAAATAATTTAGTGACAAATCGTGTCATTTCCTGTAAAAGAAAAGACGATACGCATAAAATTCTGATACCTCCACCTCTTTTTGACCAAGTTATTATGGGCATAAGAGTAAAGCTTTGTTGATTGATTATTCAGCCCTAAAAAAAAAAAAGAAAAAAAATAAAGCGACAGACTTGTTTTAGATGGGCATAGAAGATCTGACAATGTAAGAATTTGAATAGCAAAAAAAATAGGAAGAGATTTGGATTAAAGTTGGAAAACTTTATTAGTTTTAAGTACGGTTAAGGGGCATTGTTTGGTACATTCATTTGGAGCCATTGATATTAAACTTACAGGCATGGTAAGTAATCATCTAATTGTGTATTGGAGACAAAGCTCGACTTTGAAGACTGAGAAAGCTGATAGAGATTACGGGAATGATTTAGGAATTTTTCTAGACCTTCACTTCCACCCTCACTTGTTTTGGAATGGAGAGGAACAGTCGTAAAATTTTAGTAGATCTCGCATCCAAAGGATTCTTAATTTATCCAAATTTACTTAAAGGGACTTGCCTTAAGGATTGAAAAATCCATCTGGAAAAATCCACTTTCATCCGTAAATTTTGAGTTAAAGGACACGTTTTGTTTCCAAACTTTTAGACGCACCACATTTAGTATATGAATTAATAATTATTTTTTACCCCAAAAACGATAAATTGTTTAATTTGGGTAGAGAAAGTCACGTGTTTGGCACGTGGCCGTTAAGTAAAAACAATTTATCAATCAAAATTAATGGTCATGTCAGCCTTCTCTATTTAAATTGAATATTTTATTATTTTTGAACTAAATATGATCCAAAATAATTAATTCATGTATTAAATGTGGTGCATCTAAAAATTTGGAGGCGAAATGTGTCCCTAACTCAAAGTTTTAGATCCCTCAATCCAAATGGACCCCTTAATGAATGAATATCGACTTTTCGGTTTTCATTCTTTTCTTTTTCTTATTTTATAGATACAGATGGTTCATGTTTTTCATTTAGCTTTACTTAGCTGGATGTTTGGGCTTCAAATTCATCAATTTTTTTTTCAATGCTTCTAATCCTTAATTTCTCAGTGACATATGTCCAATTTTCTCTTATCTAGAGATACCTATAAAATGCAATTTTTTGTGACTAATACACAATTTCTTGGCCTGGTTAGCAATTATTCTCGAGTTATCAACTGTGCGCTGGCTATACATGAAATTTTGGCAGCTAAATTCAGTCATGCCTATGCACATAACTAAATAGATATTTATCTTTAGAAAAATTTTCTTTTTGTCAGGTCTTTTTTCTTCTTCTTTGTTTCCCAATTTCTACTAGATGCTTGCTGTAGACACATAAAGGGATAAAATTGACTAATTCCGCTATTTATTGAAATTTCCTACGCACAGACAACTCTCTAGAATGAATTAATTGCTTCTCCTATATGTTGGTTTTTCGCCACCAATCGGACGACTTATACAAGCAAAGTAATTAATATACTTTAAGAAACTCGTCAAACCTTCAGATCATTTTAGAGTTGATACTAAAATAGGGTGCTAAAATATATTCTTTTGCCAACCTCTAATCTGGCTATTTGGGTAAGAAACGTTTAACTTTTTCATCCAAAATTACAGCATCTCAAAATCGTCTTTTCTTGTTTTTTGATAACCTCCAGCCTATCTATATCGATCTCTAATTAATTTAAAAATAATTATATAGAGAACCACTACAACATTGAGTCAAATTGTTAAATCAAAAGCTTCAAAATGCATAACCAACTAATGGTTGATAGATGTGTAATGCAACCATCCCTTGTTTTGAATAACAAAATATATCAGGGCAAACAGAAAAGAAGTTTTGAATCATTAGAGCTTTCACCTTGTTGCATGTGGCTGTTGCCTTCGATTACTTCAGTGATTACTCTTCATCTACTCTTGTAGCGTCTAGTCAAAACCTTCTTGTTTCAAATAGATACCATGTCTCTAACAGCACCAAAGAACAAATTCTGAAGCTGACATATACTTCCCTTGAAAACCAGCCAAGTTCCTAGCTTTCCATATTTAATACACACCCAGAAGAAAGTGCCAGTATCTTCAATTTGTGTGAGAACAGATTTGATGTCCAATGATCACATAACCAAGGCAACTCAAGAGAACACGGAAACACTCCTCTAAACACAGCACACAACAACTGTAATTTTTGTCAGATTGCAGCAGTAAAGTCCCACAAAAAGAATAAATGATCAATTGTCTCCTCCTCCTTTTCGCAGAACATGCACACACAAACTGTCAAGCTTGACACCCCATTGTCCCTCATCAAGTAAAATTTTAGAAAAGATAGTCTTTCATTCACACTATTGTGAGTTTATGTACAAGTTTCTCTGCAGATGTTACCAAAAATAAATTCTTATCTACAAATTAAAATACAAGATAAAATCCTATCATATAAATTCCTAGCAATCTATAAATCAAACAACTTGATGTAACAATCTATCAGATAAGATATGGATGTTAGGATTCAAATTTGAAACTCTGACTTTCTAATCTCTAATTCATCTCATCCTTTGTACTCAGCCTACGTTTGCATACCAGCCATAAGATAAAAGAGAATCTTGGCACATATCCTCTCCACCAAACTAGAAACTTGAGTGCCAAAAGTTACTCGATTGGACTGTGAACGGCCCAGAGGCACTAGCCAACCAAGGAGATCTATCCTCATTTTGCACACAAGGCATAAATTCTTCTCGAGTCAATTGCTCTAAACGTTTTACTTCTTCAGTAAATTTCCTTCCATTTGGAATTTCTTCAGTAAAATGCTACGGTATGTAGCATTTGGTACGTGAAAGAGTTTTAATTAAGAAGAGTACGCCTATGCTTTCAATAGGAGAAGGAAACTAAGCGAGTTTACGGGTCGTTAAGGAATCCATCCTCATCATTCAATTTGACTTCGGAGAGACGTAGGGAAGATAATCGTGAGTTGTATTTCTGAAGGGAGCTAGCCATACGAAATTGTACTAGTAAAGCTAAAAAATTAGTTCGTACAAGGGTAGCAGCTATTTGTGGGAGAACTTCACGAACTCAGGTCCAGAGCCTACATGGTGGAATGGGATTATTGGGAGGGGAAGTTTCTGAGCTGATGAAGGAACGACATGATGATGATGATGATGAGCGGCAGTAGCAGGTTGAGACATGAAGGAATAGCATTTGCTTTGTTGATCGAAGCTTTGATGAGATGCAAGAAGCTTGTCCAGAAATGTCCAATCGCTACTGAACTTTTCCTCGTTATATTGGAGTAATCCTCCACCACAACCGCCAGATCCAGATGTCAAGCTTAGTAAGTTTTGAGAGTTACAGTCCAGATCCTCCACCACGGCGTTCAAGCTGGGGACTGGCAAGAAGGAAGGAGGATGGTGATGGGGATGGTGATAATGATGACGAACTACCGTGGACATCGACTCGGCGACGTCAGGGCTTAGTAATTGTGGGAGATGCATGGAACAGTCTACTAATGAGTAGTCGCACAGAGGTTGAGAATTTTGTCTTGTTGTTGGCTCCATCATCGACGACGTGGAAACGCCAGCCAGCTTCATGTGAGGAGTCAAATGCTCATGTTCTTCATGATCACGAAGATCGAGTTCATGATCAGGTTGGAAACCCCGATTAGTGTTACTTTTCTTCTTGAACACCCTGCAGACCACCCATCCATCTTCCTGTTTCGACATAATTGATTAAATATCTCGAGTAGCAGTAGTTTTATAAGTACTAAGTGAATTGAAGATTCACCTGAATCTCGGCATTTTCATCGTCCAGACGATACTCATGCATGATCCAATCTGTCTTTTGGCCGTGAGGAGCACGGCCTATGTAAAACACCAGAGTCTTTCTC